ATCCTCGTACAGTGTTAGGTCATTTTGGAGAGACGCTAATCGTGTGGGTAGTGGGTGGGGAACAGGTAGATGACAGCCTGCGGGGAATTCCTCCTCGGCTTTCTCGCACAGCGAATTGAAACGCTCAATCAGGTGATAGAGAATTGGATGTCGCTTAGCCATTGCCTTTCGAGTCTGTTGGTGAAACTTTGTTCCTGGAGCGAGTCAGTAGGTTGCTGAAGGTTCGCAGAAAATTGCGCACCCAAACTCTCCTTCTTCCCACCTACAGCACGATCTAAAGTCTCCATCTCATAAAATGACCCAACTGCACGCTTCCGGATGTTTACTTTCAAGTCATGCATTCTAAGCAGCAACTTGACAAAGTTTGCCGGCAATCCAGAGAGCTGGGGAAATGTGTGCCGCAGATTAAGCGATGCATACAGTGCATCTGCACGGTCACTGAGCTCCATGTGGGTGTCCTCCATCTCATCAAGATGACACAACGTCTCCACAGATGCACCTGAGGTTCTAATTGACTTCTTCACATCCAGAATGGCGGTCTCGACAGACACGATCTGATTCTGGAGAGTAATCACTTTGTCCAGATCTTTACGGAACAGCGCAGATGCCTCTGTACGCACACATCAGAGCCAAAAAAAAGACGAGGTATATTTGCCTACTGATGTTTCGGCTACTCTGCGCCGCTTTTTGTGCCCTCCACTGAGATCGTAGCTCTCTCTCTGACACACGACAGGCATGTAATGTCTTGATGCTCTGTCGGTACTTGGGGAGAAGATTGGCCTGCTGGCAATCCAACCAATCCCCGAGCTTCTCAGCGCCCTCCTGATTCACGAATGCGGTGTATTCATCTAGCATCCAGATACGACGAGATTGCTGTTTGGAACTAGTCAGAAACCATCATCCTGCATGCACAAAAGAGAGCATACCCATTGTTGCCGGGTCAAATTAATCAGTTTCCGGACCCGCAACCAAAAGCGTTCAACACCTTCCATGTCAGACAGGCCCATTCCGACAAAGAATCTTGGACTATACACCAGCTGACAATCCCATTCGTGTCCAAACGAATGCATGATGTTGATCACAAATGCGATTCGCTCCCGAAGAGTTGGAGAAAGCAGTGGGTACTGCACAGATGCATCAGCATTGAGACTTGACTGTTGTAAAGACAAACCAAGTGGCACGAATGATCCATCTGACATCCAATATCGTAGGCCTGTAAGATTGTTGCCACTGGTGGAAGAAGAGATGCGACTTTGTCCAAAAGAGCAACCAGATAACACTGCTGCTCTCCTGGGGTATCAATGTTTGCCAGAAACAACACCTGTGAGTGGCGACAGGTGAGAACGAAGGCACCAGTTGAATCAAAGTGCTTTGGATCAGCCTTCTGCTTGCTCTCGTTGGCAGCATCAAATGAACTCTGACATGAGTCGAGAGCAGCCTGAGGAATGGCAGGTTTGAATTTACGAGGCGGCTTGGCTCTTGCAGCAGTGATGCGCGCACGAGTAGTTTTCATCTCTGCGTCACTCAGGAAGTATGCTGGGGAGAAGGGAATGGGACCATCTCCAGAGGAGCGAAGATGTCGTAGGCTGAAACACCCATCTCCTCCCAGCTGCACATCACCACCTCTGCCAAACGTTCAGAGAAGTTTATGGCCATGAGAAAATGCACTCACTCGCTCAGCGATCTTCCCCATTCCTCCAGTGCAAAGCAGGCAGGACACCGTTCTCGTAATACACGATCGGCACGTCCTTTGGTCAAATGTGTCAATGCAGATGGGTCCTCAGACACGTGGCCAGCATCCAAGGCTGGTGCCTGCTCCGCTCCGCCAGACGGCGCAGACTCAACACCTCCAAATTCTGCATCAAGCTCAGCTGCCAATGGCATCTCAGCATTTTCAAGCTCAGCTCGTCTCTCAGCTGCCACTGCAGATGGGTCGGTATCAACATCAATCCACTGGGCTTTGAACTAACCTTTTTCCTCCACTGCTATGACATCTTCTGTTGCTCTCAGACACACTTCAAGTCGCTTCTCCAACCGCGAACGAACCAGAGATGAGTAGAGAACAGCATGTGACAGCACGTTGCGGAAGGGATCATCAATGTGTTCTACAGCCGTCTGCAATGTTTCTAGTAAGAGCCAAAAGAAATGGTACTATTGAGTGCTCTTACCGAATCAAATCCCAGCTCAAATCCCCGACGCCGATATACTGTAGCCAAGGAGGCAGCTAGGGCTGTGATTGCATCGGCAGATCGCTCAAAGTAGGCTCGGTACAAGTCCAAAACGTCGAGAGAAACTCCTATCCGTGGCTTGACAGGAGTTCCCGGAAATACCCCATTCTCCAAGAGCAGCACGGGCAGGCATTTGCATCGGCACAGACGGATCTGCACCCAACTGATATCTGTTGAGAGTCAGGTTCACTGGTCACTATGGAGCGGGAAAATGTTCACGGGTGGGATATAGACAGCTTATTGACACAGAATTTATGCCAATAATGCATTGCGAGCATACAGCATCAAGCGAAGAACCAATTGTTGGTCGAACTGCTCCATGGTATGCACGATGAAAATCGAGAAACACAGATTCCAACTTGGGCAAAAGAGTTTCCCAATTGTCTGCAGCCCGTACAGCACGCTCATTGACTGCAGGCATTGGCTCATCAAGATTTCCATTTGAGACCAAAGGCTGAACAGATGCATCTTCTGAGTGCTGGCTAGGATCCCCAGAATGATCAGGAAGTGTCTGTGGCGGCTCAAGAGGCTCGGAGAAGTAGGGATTATCCTCTTCTAGTGTCTGGGAAGGGCTGGGAATTGAGGGGAGTGGTTTCCTGGCAAGCAGTGCATTAAGCCGTGCTTGCAGATGCGCCGCCTGAGTGCGCTTATGTGGGTGTATGTCAACCACCTCCCTAGCAGCCTTCCGTTTCATGGGGCTGGTGCTAGGTACACCAAAGGGCAGCTGAGCAGCGGCGCGCTTGCGAGAAGCCATTGAGGTTTTGAAGAGAGGAATATAACAGTAAAATTGATGGCAAGCTACCAGATTAGGAAGGTACTAGAAGCTCACGTCACTATATTGATCGCAGAAGCGCAGACCCATCCGGACATGACGGGGCCTGTTAGGCCCCGATTTTGACCACTTCCGAGGGCCTTAGAGGGGGGGGTGTCATCTGTAACAGATGCACCTGAGGTGAGTGTCATATGCTTGATCGCTCAATCGGCCGACGTTTACGGAATCGGTTGCCAAAACCTCAGACGGTGTCCCCATGCAATATATGCGGGAAACACCACCATGTGACTTATTACAGTGGTGAGCTCACGCGCTATACGGCCGACGCGCTAAATAGGATAGATCACAATTTCGAACAGGTAGTTATGGTTTGCATTGTGATAGATACAGTCCAAGACAGTAGCGACGTAGCGAGAGATGCATCGTCACTAGCAAGGACACGGAAAAGTGTGACCAGCTGGGCTTCAATGAACGGACAGATAGTCCGTCAGAGACAGACCCTTGAGACCATCATGGCTCATTAGCTGGTGCCGTGGAGGGCTGTAGACTAATGTAAGCGTTTGTGACACTGACCGAATAAATGGCTTACCTGGTGCCCATCACACGACCGTAAACAACTCCGTATCCGTCCCCCCATCGACCCGACCCCTCACGCAAAGTAGCCGACCCGGTCAAGAGACGATGAGTTCTCAGACACGGGCCGCGAGTCGATGGAAACGACACTACTGCGCTTCCGCCGCCGGGGGATGTTGTTCACGGTCGGGCCGAGCGCTCCCTTGGGTTTGGGAGCGACCGGGAAGACGGCGGAGAACGAGATCCACAGCGACACCCCTCGACGGTCTCGAAGGGTGCTTGTGATGCTCGACGAGCAGTCGGATGAGACACTCGAGGTCGAGGAGGACGGAGCAATGGGCTCGGGGAGATCATAAGTGGTGGTGTGCGACATGGTAATGCTCGTAGCAGATGAGAACGACGGATTCAGAGAGCGAGAGAAGGATTTACTGATGCAGAGTAGATTATAGGTAGTGGTGGTTTGTGTTAAACAGTTAAAGCAGTGGATAGGCGCCCTCTGTCGCCTGTGCCCGCCTTATATGTTGAAAGTCGGAGATAGGGGGTGAGACATTTTACATCCGCGCTCGCAGCTGAGACATCCCCAGTACCGGAGATCCGCAAAGCGTGATGGTAGCTGAACGAGACAGGTCTAGGAAGCAAGTACGATGGATGCGGACGCCATAGTCCCGAGCAGAATCAGGATGGTCGTGGCTACACAAGCCAAGGATGCTAGTCGAGGGCGCAAGAGCTTGTTTATGCCGCGCGGATCCCGTGAAGCTCCATGGAAGCAAACCGGCCCCTCTCCACGCACTCCGGACATTCAACTGAGAGCGAGCGCGCTGGCACTTTCGATGACGGTGAGAAGAACGCCCGAAAAAGGAAACTGTTGTGCTAACCTACACGCACTCAAGCGTCGACACGTCTTCTTTCTTGCGCTCACAGCTGCTGTTTTCAGAATCTCTCCAATCCCTGCGACATTCAAAACCAGCTCCTTGTCGAATAATTCCTTTGCGATATGACCCTCCGTCCTCAGCCCAAGCTCATTGCTGAATCATCTTCGCTCCTTCTCAACGACACTGACAAGTGACTGTCGCTACGCTGGAGGGCAAGACTTGGATCTCGGCAACTGGCCATACATGTTGGATCGCCGTGTATTGACCATCAATACGCCTGGGCCACTCTCTGACTCCCCGTCCATCGAGAGAGAGGTGGCGATCAGAATGATTTTCGGTCATGCGCATGCACAAGCGCTCATCAACAAGGGCGCGCTTTGATGCTCCAAGCTCGATCCATTGATGGCTGATGCGTGCCACTCGCCAACACTTGCCATAAAAGGCAACTTTCTAAGCGGATTGGTTCAGAAACTGTGTCTCGATTTCCTGAAGCTACGCATAATGCATTGTCAAGGGCTGACTGGGTCGACTATAAGTAGTGGTGCGCATTTCATAGAATGTCGTTGCACCTCAAGAACCTCAAGAACACCTCTGCTCACCCCAAGCTCACTCACAAGCACTATGCTGTCTCCCATTTTCCGTCTCATTCCTTACCTTCTTCCTTCGCCCGCCACCCGGGGCTCGGCGGGCAAGAAAGCCTGCCGCGGCCACCAGAGTTTCCGGCTCGGGGACCAACATTCCTTTGCGCGGAAGCAAAAGCTCCTGTCCACCCGCACTCGGTCTTCGGGCGTGTCCGCTGCGCGCTCGAGCGCGTCATCCCTCGACAGCCATGCCACCCAGGAGGTGGCCGCGCCAACTTCAGCCGTTGCTCCTACTGCCGCTCCTGCCGCTCCTACCCCCTCCCCTGCGCCCGCGCCCGCGCCCGTCGTCCCAACCCCGCTGACACCGGCCCAATCTGCTCAAGCTGAGCGTGCCCGACATGTCTTCCTGCTGTCGGAGCTCGGGCGGCTGCAGATGATGCAGTTCAAGGAGCGCGCCTTCCATCCGGTCCCTCTCGCCATGAGCTCCTTCGCCTTGAAGCCCCAATCTTCAAGGCGGAGCAAGCCGAGCCCTTTCTTCCACAAACCCTCGTCGCTTCCGCGCAAGTGGTCAATAGCTGCGCGGTCGGCGGTGCGGCAGCTGCAGACCGTCGCCAGATCCAGTGCCGCGCTCCCTGATGGTCCGACTTCCCCGTGGGCTTCTCACCAGCGTCAGTGGACCGGCATCAAGGCCATGCTGCGCCGCCCATACAGCTCTGGTCTCAGCGAGATATCTTTCCCTTGGCCCGTCTACGGGTTCCACGTCTCCCCCGAGAACATCTTTATGTTCATCCTGGGTGTCAAGACCCGGTATGAGATGGCGCGCATTCCGATCCATCTCTACCGCCGACTCGTCGGGGAGCGGAACAATTGGTTGATGCTTTGCAATTCCCGCCGCTTCACCGATCCCACTGTTCTCTCGCATTTCGCTCTGGTCATCGACGCGATCGAATTTGCCATGTCTCTCTACCAACCTTGCTAGGCATCCAGTTCGGGTATATGTCTTAGAATACTGTAGTATGGATTATGGCTATGGCTCCATGTCCCTCAAGATCGATCTTTTATTCTTAAACTACCGATGTTGTCTGTAGCACTCCTGTACGCGACAATCAACGTTCAATTACTTACATTGCGCAGAAAGAGCATAAGTCCTGGCGTCTTACACACGGAGCTAGCGATACAACAAGCTCATCGAGAATTACATGTCGTCCTTCAATCCTCCAGGAAGAAGTAGTTGCCGGAAGCTGTGACAGAGATGAGCATGAGGTGGACACGGACTGAACGATCAAGCTTACCCTTCTGCTCACGGTCCTTGACACTGTTCATCTTGTTTACTCGCGGCGGTAATTCGTGGGGTCACGTCGGAAAGTGATCTCCAACGATGCCAGGAATCGATTCATTCCAGACAACAGTGTTTGTGGTCTGAGACAATTGATAAGATGTCATCAATTATGAATCAGCGGTGCGCTTACGGGGTGGCGGTGGCTGAAACTGCAGGCTGGCCCTCGAAGACGATGACACGATCGGCGAGATAGGTGGCCATGATGAAATCGTGCTCGATGACGAACGCCGTCTTTTTGGCATGCAGGATGAATCGCTTGATGACCTTGCTGGCGATAATACGCTGCTCGGAATCCAGGAAAGAACTTGGCTCATCCAAGAGATAAACCGACACATTCGGCTTGCCTGGTCCCGGTAAGTTGACATACGCCCTCGCGAAAGATATACACACCGAGTGCGAGCACGATAGCAACACGCTGCAACTCTCCTCCCGACAACGTCTTCACCTCCTGATCCATCAAGTTCTCCAGATTCATTGGCTTCAGCACATCAGTCTGGAACTGCGGGTGCATGAAAGCAGCCTTGATCTGCTTGAGCAGCAACATCCGCACAGTGCCCGCAAATTTGGGGGAGATCGTCTGCGGCTTGAGCGACACCCGCAGGTCCTGCTTGTCCGTCTCCTCGTCTGGCGTGTCACCAGCCAGCAAGCGCACGAACGTTGTCTTCCCCGTCCCGTTCTCGCCCAACATGACAATGATTTCCGAGTCCGAGAACGAACCGGACTCAACCGTCAGCTTGAAGTTGCCTAGCGTCTTGGTCATCGCAGGGTACGAGTAGTGTTGGGACTTCTCCACGATCAGCTCCTCGGCAGTCTCTACCATTCTGAACGAAAGTGATTCCTCTCGGAATCGCAGGTTTTCGGTCGGGATGAAACCATCCAGGAAGATGTTGATGCCTTCTCGCACGGACGATGGCATCGTCACGACACCGTACATCGAGGGTTTGCCGTACAGACAGCAGATAAAGTCCGATAAGTAGTCCAGCACGGACAGATCGTGCTCGACAGCGACGACATAGCAGTCAGGGTGGAGGAGGGCACGGATGACTTCGGCAGCTCGTAGCCGCTGCTTGATGTCCAGGTAACTAGAGGGCTCGTCGAACATGTATCTGAAGCCAGTCAGTGATTGCGGCGACGGTCAGAAGGCCACATCGACGCACACGTCAGCTTGCTGAACACAGGTCATGGCGATCGCAAATCGCTGCAGCTCACCACCAGACAACTCCGAGATGTCACGCGTCAGAACCTTGTTCAATTCCAACACATCGCACATCTCAGCCTTGTTATCTCGCTCCATCTTCGAGTCCAACATCTGAGACACCGTCATTTTGCCCTTGATCGCACGAGGGATGTGGTCCACATATTGCGGCTTGATGAGCGCCTTCAAGTTATCCTCGAGGACTTTGGTGAAGTAATTCTGCAGCTCGGAGCCACGGAAGTATTTGAGGATGTCTTGCCAGTCCGGAGGGTCCTAGTAACAGCCAGATCAGTGGCAAATTCCACCACAGCAGATGAATCTGCACGCACATCGTACTTTCCGAGATTGGGCTTCAGTTTCCCCGCAAGGATCTTCAGCGCCGTGCTCTTTCCAATACCGTTCGTCCCAACGAGACCCAGAACCTGACCAGGTCGTGGTGTTGGCAGCCGATGTAGCTTAAACGAGTTGGCGGTGTACCGGTGGGTCACTTGGGACTCCAGATTGGTCGGTAGATTGATGATTGTAATGGCTTCGAATGGGCACCTGAAAGATACCATGAGCATCGACAACAGCCCCGAATTCCAGCCCGATCGACGCACTTCTTCACACAGATACCACAACCGATGCACAAAAACTCGGAGATGAAAGCGATTTTATCCGTCGATTTCACTTCAATGCACAGTTTCCCTAGCGAACGCGACATTTGAGTACCCCCACAGAGACGGCCGATTCTGCGGCAGACGACGACGAACCCATTCTCACCACAGGGCACGACTGCGACGGCGTCAATTTTTTGTGATCCAATGAAAATCGGCGCATTTGGAACGCACTTTTTTGCATTCTTGCGCGCATCGCTTAGGTTTGCATCGGTTGGAGTCGACGATAGCAATACGCGTAATCTTGTCGGCCATGATGGAGAGGCCGCAATACGCGACGGTGTAGAGGAAAGCGAGTGCGGCTCCGAATCACGGCAAACAGATGACAACTCAATCTACTCATCGATTCGGGTTTCCATCGCGTCCGCAAAGCCTTGCGGCGGCTCCGCACTCCTTCTAAGTCTCCCAAGCATACAAAAACTCATGCATCCCATCTGTGCGCAGCAAGAAGCACAAAGAGTTAGTTCTGGACGCGATTCGAACGGTCGGTTGGACGGTTAACCGGCTGCTGACCAGACTATATTTTGAATTCGTCATCTCCGGCTGTTCTATCACGTTCTTGTCCAATTACTTATGTCTCTCCTCAGAAATGCAGGTGTGTCTCGTGGCTCATACACGCTTTCACGCCCATCCATCTCTTCCTCAAAGGTCTACTGGAGTGCTTTCACATCTCCCGCGCACTCTTCGGGCTCGATTCTTGCGTCGTGGTCTCAGCCAGATACGTACACGAGAGTGGCAGCCAGTTGAAATTGACGAGAGAGATCCTGTTCCCCGCTCTCGGTGCCACCGTTCGCGCTCATCCTATCCTATCTGCACGGGTCAAAGACGAGGATTCGAAACAACCGTATTTCGTCCGCCTGGACTCTGTGGACCTTGCGTCCGTAGTCCGGTTTCTTGATACAGCTGATCTAGAGGTGGCCATACAAGCTCAACTTTCCGCACCGTTCGACACCAGCGCAGAGCTCCCTCTTTGGCGCGTCACTGTTTTGAGTGACAACACTGTACTGTTCGCATACCACCATGGGATAGGAGATGGGCTCAGTGGAGTTGCGTTCCACCACTCACTTTATGCAGCGTTGCAAGCACCGGATCTATCCCCAACGGAAGTTGTCGTTCCCGATGATCTTCCAGTCGTACCTGCGATAGACGTTGCGCTAGACGTTCGCCCGTCTCTTCTCACCATCATTCGCACGGTCATCTCGCTCTTCATCCCGGATTCCTGGCGGACTGCGTACACTGCCTGGACCGCAAACCCTGTCCCCGCTGACCCCGAACTCAGTCCACGTGTCAAGATCTTCGTGCTTCCACCATCCGAAATGGCCGGGTTTTCAAAAGTCTGTCGAGCGAACGGGGCCACCGTCACGTCGGCATTCTATATCCTGGCAGTGGCAATCTTGTCACGCCACATCCCGCCCGAATCCACATACAAAACGATCGGTGCTGCAGTCGCAATGTCTCTCCGAGGCTTCACCGACACCCCTGCAGGAGCGATCTGCGACTACGCGACCGGTCAATCGACCTTCCCGCCTGTCGATCCCGCGTTCAAGTGGTCTCGCGCTGAGGCGTACGCCAAAGATCTCCAGGCGGCCCGCGTGAGCGGTAAAGAAAGGATCGGTCTGCTCGCCCTCTTGAGAGGAGACTTGCAACCGTATTTCCGGAGTCAGCTGGGCAAGAAACGGACGGCCGCCTTCGAGCTCTCGAATACCGGGAGAGTCAAGTTCGAGGGTCAAGGCACGTGGCAGGTTGCGGATGTGACATTTGCCCAATGCGACTTGATCTACGGAGCCGCGCTGAAAGTGAACGTCGTCGGGGACCCGACCGGGGCTGTCAGAGTAGCATTGACCTGGAACGAGGACGCCATCGACGAGGGCCTAGTAGAAACATTTGCGCGCGAGTTCCAAGATGGTGTCCGTGCTTTATTGCCGTAGATCGAAACCAACTGATGTGGTTGACTCCTCGAAAATCAACTCAGCGCCGTCGCCCTGTCGGCCCAAACTGACCAAAAGGCAGGTATAGTCCTAGGAAACGCGTTGAAACTTGAAGGCGAATCTCGACCCAGTACCAGCCTGGTTTGCCATGACGGCGGAGAACGAGATCCACAATGACACTCCTCGACGGTCTCGAAGAGTACTTATGCTGCTCGACACGCAGTCGGATGAGATACTAGAGGTCGAGGAGGACGGAGCCATGGACTCGGGGAGATCGTAAGTGGTAGTGGGTGATAGGAGGCGAGCAGTTTGCATCCGCAATCAGAGACAGGGCATCCGTGGATTCACAGTGCCGGGGCACTCCCTTGCTGAATTTCCGGATAGTCCGGTCACAGAAAAGTATAGGGAGGTTGTAACAGACCACAATTGTAATATAATGGTCCGTCGTTGCAATCGAGATAAGAGAAGGGACTGACGGTGCCTTCGGTTTGGTATATGCTGGCTCGTGGTCATTGCGTTCATGGTATTGTCATCTACTAACACGGTGCAGAGTGTAGCTGGCTCGACATGCCCTCCCTAGATCGCAGGGACAGGCTCGATGCGACGATAGAACAAAAGGTACGGTTGGTCCGACTCCCCATCCTTGCCCTTTTCTTCCCAATATCCTTTGTTGGCACCCGTGTCGTCTTGGTAGGCCACATGTTGAGCGGCATCGATATTGAAAGTTGTTTGCTGTGTGGGACGGTGAGCTCCAAGTTTGCCAAATGTAACACAGCCCGTACCAAAGCAGTAGAGTCGCCGATCTTCGAAATTAAATCGTCGTCACATTTGAACCAAATGTCGTCTCTTCGCACGTATGCAACATCTGCCCCAAAACGGGTGAGCAAATAGTCGGAAGACACGAGCACATGGCGCACAATGTCCGCTATCAACCGTCGTTCCCCGATGGCAGACCACCGCGTACAGTTCGTACGAGACGTCGCCTCGTCTGTTTCCTGTGGCAGACGTTATGGGCAATACCAGGGTCTCGGTCGTCCCGTCAGCATTGAAGAGGTTGACCGGAGCATGTGTCTTCCGGGGAGTTTGAGGCTTGGAATTCCGCAAAGCATCTACCGTGCGAGATTTGGCATCTGCGTACTCTTTTTGCAAATCTTTCATCTCTTTAGAATCATCAAGCTTAGAGAGATCCGCCCCAAAGAAGGCGGCCGCGGCTTTATCCTTCTCGTATTGTACCTTCATCTTCGGTCGCAGATTGTTCCTCAATTGTACGAGTTCATGCTCGCCCTGTGCAAGTCCAGCGGCCAACTCAGTTCGGTCGGCCACGATCTGCCGCAAGATAGCAAGGGGAACCCCATCCGTGATTTGGTTGTTGCCGTAATGTATATTGAGCGCCCGATTGAGATGGACGGCTAGAATCGGCGGACCAGGATGCTTTGTGATTTCGCGTTGTACTGTCACACCAGTGTAGCACCTTGAGGGCATAGGACATGCATAACTGGCGACCTGAGTTGGCGAGGACAGGCGACATCACGAGCGGGAGAACACACCTGAGCAACTCCAGCGGCCGAGCGGCGAATGCAGCTTTCACGAGTTCCTCCAACGGCTTTTCGACCAAGTCGAGATGTAGTCGCAGCACATAATCTGGATCAACCTTTCCTTTCTGTTGTATGCTTCGGTGAGCAACTGAGGTATGTCTCCCGATACGCACTGACCTGGCCCGAACATGTACCACCAGTGCAGGTGAAAACCTCCTTGATATCGAGTTGCAGCAGCTTCATCTCAGCCCCTGGTACATCGAAGGCCGTCCCTAGAAGCACATCCAGCATCTGCAACGGGTCCTCTTGTTTCCCACGTTCCAAGTCCAACGTTTCTTTTCGCAATTTTTCGCGAGTGCGAGTGCGGGTCTCTCTCCATTTGCGCTCTGGTTCACTGATAGTCGCAGGTGGCAACCCGTTGAGCTTTCTGGCCGCTTCTGTTTTCCGCTCGCCGGCCTCCTCTGTTTTGATCTTCGTAGGAGTAAGACAAGAGATACAAAGCGAAAAAATGAGAGAACTTACTTTCTGTAGCTCTTCTTGGGTCCAAACAAGATGCTCCAGCGATAGTCCCGTCTTGGGAGGTCCATTGACATCCTTAAGCGCTTGAACAAATTTAGTTGGAGCCCAGGTCGCTTCATAATTGTCTGCGACAAGTTTCTCGAGTTCATCAAGCTGCTCGGGCGTGATGGTGGCTGCAAGCGATTGGATCAACGCATTAGCATAGCAGGTATTGCCGACATTGATCAGCTTGTTTGGACCGGGGTCTGTTGCGTTCGCCACGTGATCTGGGTCGTCTATGCGCTCAAGGTTACTCCCGTTCGATCCACTGCCCTTCAAGTCGAGTCCTGGGTCGCCAGGCTTTCCATCCATATGCATCAGAGGGAAGTACGTGCCTCAAAGCGAAACTCAGAATTCCATCCTCTCAGCCTGAATGGAATTGTGCTTTGACTCACCAAAGTTGCGTTTCGCAGCAGTTTGCAACCGACCAATCGCTGGTTTTTCCTCTCCCTCGCCGTGCAGGAAGCTAAGCAATGCCCATATCGCTCTTCCAGCTTCATATCGGTCATGAGCATACAGAAGATCAAATTCCCTCGTTTGTTTGAATTCGACTGATCCTTCTTTGAGACATTCCAGTGTTGCTGCTTTCTCCAAGTAGTCAGCGGTGACATCGATCCTGCTGAAGCTGATATATGTGTGGCGAATGTGGATAGTGAATCCCTGAAGCAACGGTGAATATATCAGGTGAACGATTTCAGAGACACTTACTTGCTGATGCTGCCACTCCCCGATCTCCTTCAAAATAGTCAGCTCCACGTTACAATACTTAGAAGAGAAAAGGTCGTACCCCGATCCGCTTCGCATTGTAGGGCTTCGATAGTGGCACTCGTGGCCTCGAATTTTTCCTAGTCTCAATCTCCATCTCGCCACTAGGCTCGTCTTGAGCCTGAGCCGTGTCGGCATCCTCACAGTCTAGTCCCTCTTTCTCCAGAAAATCGACGTTTCTCGGGGTGACGACATCGTTTCCGTGTGCCAGATGCGCATCACGAGATAATTCCTGACGGTACAGCCAAGCTTTCTCTTGGCCCGCGGCCGACATCGTTTTCGCGAGATCTGCAGCCATCTTCCGTTTTTCAGCATCAGGAAGCGCATCGAAGAGAGCCTTCTCCAATTTGTCGCGCTCCTTCTCACGGCGTTCGTAGTCGTTGCGGTAGTGTAAGTTGACGTAGATCCCAGTGAGCATCTCAGCGAACTGTTGCGAAATGACTTTGAGCGCAGCACGAGAGATGTGATTCTGTAGTCAAGTTGAGCGTCGGTTGAGATTTTTCGAATACAGAGCTGCTGACCGTCTCCAAAACCGCCTCAGGCTGATCGGTCCCCATGAATTGTGGGTCATCTGCGCTGCCGGACCGATCGACAGCGTATTGACGTTTGAAAAAGGCTCGTTCCTTCTTGAGTTGCTTCGGTCGATTTTTCTGCTGACAGTGAATGGCTAGCGAGGGAAAACAAGATCCGAGCTAGGTACCTGAACATTCATCGCCTTGAGGCGTTTCGCCTACACAACTTCAGTAGGATTCCGACATTCGAATCAGAGACATACCTCATAGCGAACGACGGGGATCTTCGAGAATCGATTACTGCCAGAAGTTTTACCGGCACGACCAAGATACATGTACCCGTCGTCGGTCGAGGAAAAATGAATACGTTTGCTACCTGAGAAGACATTACGACTGATCGATGAAGAGTTCTGAGACTTACTGCCGGGATCCTCCCCCTCCTCTTCGATATCTGAAACGTGATCCAATGGATCTGCAACGTCTTCCTCCTCGAGTTCCGCTGTCAGCCTATTCCGTTCCGCCTGGTAAGAAAGATCGTTCAGATCTAAATAAAAATGCCGGGAGGGACAAACTGACAGTGATGTCGACAGGATTTGAGTTCCTGCGTGCCTTCTCCTTACGCTTCCGCTCCCTTTCTTCCTCCTCCGCTTTGCGTTTCAAAAATCTCTTATAGTCGCCTGGGGAGCATGCAAAAGAGGACCCGAGCTTGAGCTCTGCTCCAGTGCTACAGTAATAGCAATCAGTAAAAGGAATTGTCATCTGTAGTGAAAATTTTACCTGCGCAGCCAATCTGCACCCTGCTTTTGTCTCGAAAAGAACTGGAGGATGACATCCATCAACCGGAAGAGCAGCTCCTGACTGGCGCGTTCGCCCTTATCTTCTTCTGATTCATTTGACAAGCTCTTCCCATTGTCCCAGGAGACGCCGTCCAAAACGTGCTCGTAGTTTTCAGCCAGGCGTCGGGTACGGAGATCGCGCAGGGCGGTAAAAACGGACACGAAGGGGTTCGATAGAAAGTCGGACATCGGTTTGCGCATAACCGTTGTGGCACCGTCGATATTGTCGAGAAGATAATGTGGATCGTCCCGGTCCAGCTGCATCAAGCGAAGCATGGCCACCAGCTCGGGCTGCACACCCTCAGTATGCTTGGTCAACGAGACTGAGCCCAAATCTGTAGAGCTAGCAGCCACCAGATTGAGGAGCATCTCTGAGCAATCTGGGGGCGGGACTCAGCCTTTCGCCGATGCAAGCGTTCGCCATAGACGCACCTGGAGTCGCATTGACCTTGTCCCAGCCGGGAATCACATCCTTTGGCTCCAAACCCAACCGGGGGACGACACGGAACGCGAGTAAAGCGCGGACATCTATGGTGGACCCACTCGTTCCCAACACCTTCCCTTTGATATCCAGACCGTCGTAGAAACTGACATAATGAGGATGATCTTTGTCGTTGTACCAGTTGCGGAACCCCTGGGTGGTGCTAGGCACGTCGATCTGTTCACCGGACACGATAGTCGCCTTCGGAGGTCTCCCTCTCCCTCTTTTCACCTCGGCTGAGGACGCAGGTGGGAGAGTCTTCTCCTCCTCGATGTTGGATGTCGCCGCGCCTCCAGTGGCTGATTTAGTATCTTCAATATTCATCGCGTCGGTAGGGGAGGTGAGAGGAGAATGCTCACCACTGGCGTGCCTATAAGTACAAAGCCGACAGGCCAAACATTGTTCGTACCTTTCGCCGGTCCGTACGCGATGTCAGACAAATGCGCTTCAAGCCAGCCGCCGAACATGAAGAATGCACTCAGAAATGACATTCTGTAAAGCTCTACGTCGTGAGATCATTCCCCAGATGGGGCTACGAACTCGCGCAGTGAGCTGAGGGCTGATGAGATAATTGAATATGTAGTGGGATTGTTGATCGAAGAGAATGACTTACATAATCCAAACTCGCCGTTCAAACGTTCAAACTCGAATCGAGTTTATAGATACTAGCTATAGTCAAGTCAAGTAAGTTTCTCAACACACCTAGAGCGAATTACGGTAACCGAACCAATGCCAAAATGCCGATAATATTACCGATTATCCCGAAAACTCGAGACTAGTAGTCCCCCCGGCCCGCCAATAAGCGGAAACGCCCTCACGTGTTCGCGAAGCGCGCCAACGCTTGTCGATGCTAATACCCCGCAGAATACAGGGCTCGTAGTGACGCGAGATGAATCAACTGCCGACCTCAGACCTCGACGCCTGCACATTCAGAGATCAGCACAATAATCTGCCTTGACTTCACTTGGACCTCGAGCCAAGTGCAGGGGCAAGTCCTTGCACAATATCCTCTCTCCCCGTTTTCGTTGGTCTTGATCTGGAGTATGTGCGATGATAGCAGTGCTGGGGATGGCATTACGTGGGGAGCGGATACTTTGGAGCATAAACGGATGTCTCAGATGTCTCCGTTATCATACAGCGACTCAAAGTCTCAGCGTGCGGCGCAATGCTTTTGATTCTACCTAAACAGTAATGGGACCCTACGCGGTTTATCCCGATTCATATGTGAGAGAACGAGAACAGGGTAATTTCTTAAAATAAGGCCGTTCGTATTTATGGTGTTTTGATTCGAGCAACATTTGTGCATGAGCCACGAAGCGCTGCGTAACAAGGAGTATACGAATACGTCCTTCACAAGCACTCTATTTTGGGACGCGCAGCGGCTTCCCAGTCTAAGCTTTCCAAAATCCCATTGGATATGTTGGAATGAAGAAGCTTCAACGCAAGTTGGCACCTAGTCATAGCCTGATGTCGTGGAGGGCTATAGACTAATCTCAGGGTTTGTGGCATCGACCGGATAGATGACTTACCTGGTGCCCATACACGACCGCGTACGACTCCATATCCGCCCCCTTCGACCCGACCCCTCACGCAAAGTAGTCGACCCGGTCAAGAGACGATGAGTTCTCAGACACGGGCCGCGAGTCGATGGACACGACACTACTGCGCTTCCGCCGACGGGGGATGTTATTCACGGTCGGGCCGAGCGCTCCCTTGGGTTTGGGAGCGACGGGGAAGACGGCGGAGAACGATATCCACAGCGACACCCCTCGACGGTCTCGAAGGGTGCTTGTGCTGCTCGACGAGCAGTCGGATGAGGCACTCGAGGTCGAGGAGGACGGAGCGATGGACTCGGGGAGATCATAAGTGGTAATGTGCGACATGGTAATGCTAGAAGCAGATGAGAACGATGCGTTCAGAGAGCGAGAGAAGGACTCACTGATGCAGAGTGGATGGTAGGTAGCGGTGGTTTGTGTTAAACAGTTAAAGCAATGGATAGGCGCTCTCGGTCGCCTGCGCCCCCCTTATATGTAGAAACCGGGAGATAGGAGGCGAGACATTTTACATCCGCACTCGCAGCTGAGACATCGCCCACTGTTGTCCTAAGCTTGGCAGTGTTCAAACCATCCGACACATAGTGAGACAACTGTCGCAGAGCTACCCGCTTCTTGTTTTTGTTCGGTCACTTGCGGAGCAACTGAGTGGGAGCGACATAGATTGATCAGGGCCACAGTTCTGCAGTCTTCGGAGATGAGACCAACGAAGTTGGAGGGTTGCTAGAGATTCGTGTTGCCTGGAAAGAAGCATGTCTCGGTGAAGTGCGCACAGCGAGGGACCAGGTTGGACAGTATAGTCAGGAGAACTCGGCGGTTATGTCATGAGACATGCTAGACAATGGATCAAGAAGCAGCGGTCGATCAATTTGGTTCCGCGGGTCTAAGTTCCGATAATCGACAGATTCGACACCTGTTCAGAAACTTCGACCCTTCCAGTGCCCAATCTCGGTCTTCGTTTCCTTTGATTATGATAGTCTTAGAAAAGCCCTGGGAGCAGCGAAAGATTGTATAGAATTCAGCTCGAGTACTCAAGCTCAAAAATTAGGAAAATAGCCGATCAATCAAGCTGCAAATATCCCTTGTCAATCCGTGCAGCTGTGGAATAGGTGAAAATCAAAATCTGGCAAAATCTGAATATCCTAAGCCCGAAACGCGCTCCTGAAGCCCAAGATCATTGATTTCTGCTGCGGTATCGGCCAATATGAAGTACCCATATATATCGTTACTCATTATCAAAGCCCTCACCAGTCTGGATTCTCAAACAGGCGGCTCGATCCTAGAGCAGCATTGGTCAGAAATCGCTGCGTATTGATACAAGCTGTTAGCCTGAGATTACTTATCGAAGCGTACCCAATTGTCGCCACGAATGTACAAGGACACAAATCATGAATGTTGCCTTCTAGCGACTAAAACTTTGCCGAGCTGAAATATGCAGCCAGGCCGACAGCTAGCAATCCTAACACGGGAACGACGAGATCCCCGGCAACACGCCAGAGGGCAGCTCGGCCTGTCGCGGTGATCCTCTGATTGAAGATCGCGCTGTCGTTCGAGTACGGATACTCGCAATCGGGGATCGGCACACCAAGGAACGGGCACAGCGATTCCCATCCGTCCTTGACATCGAACTCGAGAAGCCTCTCTCTAGGCACCAACGCGCGGACGTGGTCGTAGTGCGCAACAAAACGGGCCTGGGCGCCTTGGGCCGTCGCTTCCGGTCCGCACAGTTGCCGACCCATCTGTTTCGCCATTCCCCCAAGGTGCCGGACACCGGAATAATCAAGCTTCATGGCGAGGCCCAATGTGCGGTTTTGAGGCACCCTTGCAACGGTCGAGAGGAAAGATTTCCACCACTTTGTCGGGTCACGTAGAGTGAGGATGACTTTTGCGTCCGGATAGGCGGCGATCAGGTCCTCGGCATACATCATGGGAGGGGCGTCGGTGGTCGCCTTTCCGATGCCAGATTTCGTTAGCGAGGCAGATCGCAGTAGCTAGGTCGTAATATGAACGAACCTCACAGTGACCAAGGATCTCATCGAATTTCTCTCTCGAAACCAGCTTCCCCTGCTCGTATTTTGTCTGGTACACTTCCTTCCAGAGATCCGCGTCGTGGGGATTCTCAAATACCGACTCCATGTGGTAGACCTCGTCGTAGCCGAGAATTTTGAGCGCCTTGCGCAGAGCTGTGAGGATTAATGCCATCTAGCGAGATCGAGTCCGTGAGCACAAGTTAACGCACAAGATGTTCCAGTGCGCGGATATCCGAGTGCTAGCACCTTCATCCGGACAGTGCGGGCTTTTCCCCGTCTGGACCGCCATTCGGAGCGGGGAGGAACCAAACTGAGAACCTCTCCAGGGGCAGACATGGTTGAGCGGGAAACCACAGGCAGCGGCACAGCGCATGCACCAAAGGTTAAACTTGATACCTGAACCCGTGCCGGCTTGGAGGAGACGGCTCGCATGTTCCGCCGATGATTGCGTGTAAGTCTCTGACATGCAGATTCATCATATCAGGTTCGTTGCCTCAGGTTCTTGGCCTCATGAATGTGGTTCAAGAGACTTTGATGGATCCGGCAGGTTTTGACAGTTGGGAGTACGCCCCACTGAGAGTTGCCTGGCGGCAAGCAGAGAGACCTCTCTCTTTTCGGATAGACGCGGTTGATCTTGTGGTACACAACCTCATTTATGTCAAAAAGGTCAAGCCCGGGCTGAATGGGCTTACATAAGTAATCTCGCTTTGACCGATTACGTAATGAATATGTGTCTCAAAACAGACTGTCATTTATTCTCAGGCGTTTCTCCCTGTGTGTTCCTCCACATGGCAGCCCTGGATCAAGTTCAGTCTGCACATCATTCCGTGAGCATGGAATCCCCGTCACTATACCCGGACCGGCCTCCCTGACTGTCCTCGTAATCGGAGCGTGTAGGTGCATATTCTGTCGGTGTTGCAGTTTCCTCCTCGTGCAGAGAATGTGAAGAGTGGGGCTCCTCTGGAAGATCGTCGTCTCCCAGAGATCCGAGCGTCTCGAAGAGTTCCGTCCTGTCATCCTGTGTCTGATCGAGGCTGCGGCGATAAAACAAAAGGTAAGGCACGCCGCTCTCTTTCTCTTCCCAGTGGTGCTTGGTTTCCTCGCCAATTTGATAGGGGATACAGGCGACCTCCAGCTCGGAGACCTTCGCACCCGACGTCAAGTCTCGTTCTGTTAACAGAGCTAAAGCACGCACCATCTGCTCGTTGGACATCTCCGTCACGGTCTCGTTGACGCACTTGTACCACTTATCCTCGTAAAGCGTGTAAGCCCAGTCTGTTTGTTTGCCGTGGTCATTAGAGTGGCAATCGGAACAGATAAACGGCAACGCACAGTTTCCAGACTGGACTGTCTCTCCGCGATGAGAAACTATCGCATACAGATCATAGAAAACCCGGCTTTGCGCTTTGGTGGACGTGTCGGCCATGATCAATCTGAGAGGCTTCGCGCCTAGCAGCTCGTCGAAGAGGTCCAGCGGTGCTTGTGGCTTGACCGACAAGAACATCTGTTCCCGGCGAATGACATCCTCGCCGACGGTATTGAGTTTAACTGCCAACGCTTTCCGTTTCTCTTCAAAGGGGGAGATAACTTTCATGGGAAGCGGCAGGAATTGGTCTCCCTGCTGTTTTTTTTGCGAGAGAGCCTCCAGTTCTGAGCGAGCGTCCGTTTCGAACTGCGCCAGCTCCGAGTCGGCGACAGCCAGCTTTGCGGCCACTTTCTCATGGACGCGCCGCACTTGTTTCAATTGTTCGAGCGGGAGACCATTCTGATACTGGTTGCGTCGGGCATCGATCGTCAGACTCCGAGAGATCTGCACAAGTAGTAGTTCTGGTCCTGGGGATCCGTTCAGCTTGAACATCTCCTGGGCTTGGGCGAAACAATGGTGGGGTCGGTGACACCTATCTCGTTTTCAGCATTCTTCCGATCGAGGACAAACGAGTCAGCCATACCAGAACGACGTATTGGACTCGGGATGTCTCTCCAAATATTTCTTCACTAGCGCCTCTACAGATTGCGGACTTGGAGCACCCGTCGCTAGATCCACCTGAGGTTCTAGTGATGGCTGCAATGTGAGCACGCGGGTTCCCGTGGGGTTCAATTCCTATTTGTGGAGAGCTTAACAAGCCGTTTGGTCTGTGTAAGATGTTCTTCACCTGATCGAGTCCGCAACGGGCGCACACTGTCCTAGTACCGATGTGGATTTGGAACAAAGAGTTCAAGATATTCATCTGTTCCTTGTGGCCAAAGGGATGGACGACTTCGTGATTAAACGCGGCGAAAAGTTGATGCACGAAATCTGCCGCGTCTATCTTTGCTGCTTCATCATAACCCATCCCTTTCTGAAAAATAAATCAGAGCGCGCTTCAGTTTTGCATAAAGCCCCCAAAACATACGAGAACCAGCGATCTGATGGCGACTTTCTTGGAGGTGCTGCCCGTGATCTTTTTGAGCGCCGCAACAAAAAGACCAGGTACCGAGTCTGTGGTGTTATAGCTCTCGAGCAGCTTGTCGACAGAGTCATTCGGGATGGCCGCAGCAAACGCTTGTAGAAGGGCGTTGGAGAAGCCTGTTCCGAGACGTTGTATGCCGTTCGGTCCTCCATCTCGCATACCCCCATCTGGCTCATCTCCGTCCTCACGTCCATCATGATGTTCGACAGGAAAGTATTTCTCTGTCCAATGCGTCAGGTGGATGTCATAATGACTGCAGAACCCACTCACGGAAATGTTGTTTCGCCTCAGTCTGCAACCGACCGATCATCGGCCTTTCATCTTCTTCTGCTTGGTGGAGATAGTCGATCAGACCCCAGAGAGCTCGACCAGCTTCGTATCGGTCATGCGCATAAAGCAAATCAAACTCCTTCGTTTGAAGATACTCGACCTGGTGCTTTTTGTCAAGCACAGCTTCCTTGGCAACGTCCTGGAGGTACGCCTTGGTCAACTCGACTCTACTGAAACTGATATAGGTGTGCCGAAGGTGAATCGTGAAGGCCTGAGGCAGACAATCAGCACAGTTACCCACTCGAAATTGTGGGCTTACCTCCTGGTTTCTCCAGACTTTGATTTCCTGCAGCCGAGCTTCAGTCCGCGACATAACCTGCAAGCGCAATCTTACATGGATCTTGCCATCAAATTGGCTGAAGGCAGCTTTTTCGACTCTTTTTTACCCTTGGCTTCTTTCTTAGTCTTCGCCTGGGTCTTATTCTTGGTCTCGGTCTCGGTCTCGGTCTCGGTCTCGGTCTCGGTCTTGATCTTGGTCTTGGTCTCTTTTTATCCTGTTTCTTATCGACAGGTTTGGTGGACAACATCTCGGTTTCAGACCCGGTCATATCAGGGTCATCACAGTCGTCAACTTCCTCCGCAAAGAAGTTTGGATCTGGAGCAGCCGTCGCAGCAGCCTTCTTTCCCTTCGAGTCGAGCATCGACTGAGACTCTTCTCTTCCTTGTTGACCTTCTTGGAATCCTCACTCTCTGAGGGAACCAGTCTCGCGCGGGTGTCGTAGTCGGCAGCATAGTGAAGATTGACGTATATCCCCGTTAGCATCTCTGCATACTGTTGAGCGACCAGCTTGAGCAATTCCTCCGTCATCTGTGAACCATTGTCAGAGGGGGCTCGGACAGATACCCAAAGGTCTCGACCTCTTCTCCTTCATTCACATCAATGGCCTGACTGGTTGCGGACTTGAAAAACTCCCGCTCTTTGGTCAGCTGCGCTTCGCGTTGTCGCTATCGTCGATAGTAAAGACATGGAGAGCATGTATCTTGGAGAACTCGAACTCACATAAATGGGAAGTCCCGGAAGAACTAATCGTTTCGCCTGGAAGAGATGTTGAGCAGTGCAATGGCTTGCGGGCTGCAGGTGTACCTCATATCGAACCACGGGGATCTTGGAGAAACGATTGCCACCCGACTTCTTGCCAGCCCGAGCGAGATACATGTAACCGTCATCTTTGGCAGTGAATTTGATCCGCTCGGCTGTCTGTTCTGAGTAGCTTCAGTCTGGCTGGTCTGACGCGCAAGTCCGACAACACACGATTCGTGCTGGCCTTGTCCAGGTTGGCTCTCTTGTCCCGTTCCAGTTGCTTTACCGCTTGTTTATTTGCTTCCGACTGCCCAACAATGAATTCATGAGCGCAGACTGCGAAGCTGACAGACCTCGAGGTCGTCTGGATTTGAGTTGCTGCGTTGACGAGGGCCTTCTTCCTCCATCCTTCCGTTTTCTTTAGGCTTGGGTATTCGACGGAATTCTTCTAGGTCATTCGGCGAGCATGTGAAAGAGCAGCTCAACTGTAGTTGAGCCCCGGTGCTGGCACATCGTCAAAATGATACCTGAGGCGCTTCATTGAATCACACCTTCGCAACCAGTCTTGATCCTTTGTCTTCCTCGAATAGTATACTAGCACGATGTCCATGAGACGATGGAGCAATTCCTCGCTGGCCACTTCGTTCTTGTCTTCGTCGCTCTCGCCCGTCACGCCGCTCTTCGTCGCGACTGAGGCACCGTCACGAACATCCTCGTAGTGCTCCGCCAGTCTCCGCGCGCGCAGATCTCGCAGGGAGAGAAACACTGTCAGGAAAGGGTTGGTGATGAACTGGGACATGGATTTCCGCGCAAACGTCGTGGCTCCGTCGATGTCGAGCGGCGTAGGAAAGAAAGGATCGGGTACGTCGCGCTCCAACTGCATCAGACGAATGAGATTGTGCAATTCGGGGTTCTCCGCGTTGTTTCTGCTCAGCGATACAGAGCCCAAGTCGATTGAGCTGGCTGCGCACAGCTTGTTTAACATGTCCCGACAATCGGGATCTATTATTGAACATCAGGGGTCGGATCTGGAGCAGAGCGTTCGGACAGACACACCAGTAGACACGGGTATCTTCTCCCAGGCTGGTATAACATCCCTCGGGTGAAGACCCAGCATCGGGACCACGCGGAAAGCAAGTAGCGCTTGAGCTTTGACGACGGACCCAGAGGTGGTCAGCTTCTCTTGACCTGGGAGGATGAAAGCATCATAGAAACTCAGGTTGCTCTGTGTTCCGGTTTCTGAGTACCGTGCCGTGAACTCATCAACAGTGCTCGGTATCGTGATTGTGCGCTGATCAGACCGTCTGGTGAAGGACATCGGGAAAAGGACGAGGTAGACTTTTCCTGGATTGGAGATACTTATAAATGGCGAGTAGACAACACTTTGCAGGTTGTTCGTACCTTACTCAAGGTCGCCGGTGCATAGGCGACGTCAGCTTGTCAGGCGTTCCTGTACTCCGGTGCATTCGGGATACACGCGGGTAGGTGTGGATCTGAGCATTTGAGAGCGGTGGAAACAAGTCCACAAGCCCATGGAGTAAACTGAGGGTGTTTGGGGATGCAACTATGGACTGCATACAGCCCGGCCCAAGAGTCAAATTGCACATGTCAAGATGAAGTCGTGACCATGACCGTGACGCTTCGTGTACCTCGCGCTCAGGCTGATCTCGATGTCAGCGCTTCCGAAGATAGTGATTAAGCCCAGGTCCTCCGCCGCTGTCCAGGGCACGATCTTGGCTCGTGAAGAAGAGGAAGAAGAGGAAGAAAAACTTGACAGCGTCGCGCATGAAGGAGACACAGATGCGGAGGCCGACGATGGGACCGAGGACGCGCCCACGCCCATGGAAATCGACGATCCAATTCCCACCGCTACTCCCGAAGAAGCGCCCGCAGTGGTGCCACCTGTGAAACGAGGACGGGGACGACCGCGCGGCTCCGGCAAGAAGGCATTACTCGGGCACGCGCCAGTAGGCTCTGCGGTGCCCGGAACGAGTACGCCACGTGGGCGAGGACGGGGAAGGGGACGGCCGCCTTTGCGGGCCCGGGGAATGGCGCGTGCAGCCGGTGGCGTTGGCTTTACTATCCGACTGCCCAAGCGCGACGATGAGTCTGACGAGGACGGCTCGGAGCGTGGTGCAGATGTCGATATGGGTGCGGTAGGAGAAGAGGGCCGATTGGAGGTGGAAGGCCTTTCCGTACAATACAGGGCAAGGCGTACATCATTGAAGGCGACGAATTTATCACAGAGAATGACCCCAAGGGCGACGAAAAGATTGACCAATGGGGGAATCTACTCGGAGGTGTGTCCGCTTGTGCTTTTCCTATCTTCTCAACTAGATGTCATTTTTGTCCAGACCGTAAATTCAAGGCTGCTACTTTCGTACTGCCAGGGAGGCATCCAGAACGACGCTACATGCTCGCCATCGACGCAGCTCGAACATCTGGCTTTCGTGACTCCCTGTATTACTTTCGACGCAATCCTCTCGCACTGAAACAGAATGCTACTCAGCCTGAAAAGGACTACCTCATCTCGCAAGGGAAACTTGGCACTCACCTTCGAACGCGCAGTGTCACTCTCGTCACTGCACGGAGTGCGTTCAAGTTGCACGGTAGCAAGACTATCATTGGTAAGTATGCCCTGTTTCCTGGTATATTTTTGCTCATCTTGAACTCAGACGGCCGGTGGGTGGTGGACGACTATTACGAAGATCGCGTGTTGGAAGAAATCACTGCTCGCGGCTTACAAGCAGGGGATCCGGTCGGTGAACTTCCTGATCCCAATGCGAATGCAGCCAATGCTGCCGACGCCGGACTGGGTGCCAACACTGCTGCAAACAAAACGGACCGCGGAGGAGGGACTTCAGTCGGTGTGTATCGAGCAGGTGGTCCAACGACATTGTTTGGATCGAGTGGCTGGGGGCCCTACAGCGATGGTCCGCTCAACGCTGTGAGGAAAAGTCTTTTGTCTAGAGATGGTGTGTCGGAAGAGAACTGGATGCTGATGGCCGCGACGAGGACTTTGGCTGCTGATGCGGAATGGGCCAAATGGCGAAAAGAGGGAATCCAACCCATCGATGGATCGGGGAACGCAGTCAAGCGCAAGACCGACGATGCCCCCGAAGCCGACTCGTCCGAACAACTTCCACTTGGAACCTATGAACCCCATACCAGCATCGTCCATTGTGAGCCCCGTCGTTGACTGAACCGCGTCCTCGTCTCATCGTATTGGACTCGCAGATCGTAATGACACCCAACCGACAAGAAGTCGGATGGAAGCTATGCCCGATTCCGCAGAGAAGGCTGTGCTAGGTGGAACAAAGTCCGGGAACGGCGCATGGGCCATTGCTTGGATTGACACCGTCATGGACGTCAGGATCCAGGAGGAACTTGAGCGATCAGAGGCTGACGAGAAAATGAACATTTGGAAAGATACCGAAGAAGGGATTCTTGACGATGACCTTCTATAGCGATATCTTGAACTTGTATTTTGTAAATGTCTGACCTGCAGATATCTGTATTGTGTTCACCGATTCGATCCACATCTTGTCTCAGTCACTCTCATCGTATCTCATCGACTGTCAATCTAATCTGTCGGTCGATCCTACGTATCTATACGCATGGTATCACACTCAACAACCAAGAGATTGATAGGTAAACATAGAAAATCAGATATCTGGAACATCTTCGAACAGCCTGCACTGCCGATAGTGCTGGGAAACTGCCTCGCGGATCTGCTGGGCAGCAGCAGATCGGATGATCGAGCCGCCACAAACATAACAAAAGTGTGTGTTGCACCCGGGAGCCAAGCACTACACGACCGTAAAAATCTTGTCAGCAAATAAAGATAGGCTCTACTTACCGTCATGTGGTTGCAGCCACTGGATTTCTGGAACGGAGTCTGGCAGCCGGGGCAGTGTTTCCATCCTCGGCGCTTCATCAGATAGGCGAGCTCGGACACGCCGTCACAAGAATGCTCAGCTCCCCCTAGAGCGATCGACTGGTTACAACCTTTGCACCAGGTGTGGTTGCATCGGGGAAGAGGACACGTGATGCGTTTCGCAGCGTTGTATTCGGTGCGGTCCACAAAGATGGAATCCTTGCATCTTGGGTGGTAGGTTAGTGGACCCACACCTCCGTGCCCGCGACGATCACTCACTTGCGACAATGAATGAGGATGGACATGGCCGAAATGTGAAGCTCTTGCAATGCCTGATACTGAGTTTCATCGAGCCCCAACATTTGAATGAGATCATCAGAAACGACTAGCAGGATACGGTAAGGAAGAACACAGAGAGCTTCGAGGGAGATGTTCTCACCCTCGGGCTCGTTGGTACTGGGATCCATACTGCAAGTCGGGCAGAAGATGGGATACAGCTTGCTGTCAAGCTTGGATGCGACGAACTGTCTTAGACAATCTCGACAGAACGGATGCATACACCCAGACACGCGAATGACATAGTCCTCAGGATATTGCTCCAGACAGACAGCGCATTTGAAGATCATTTGAGCGTCCCTCTCTAGCGCCTTTCGTTCCGCGGTCAAGCGTTCGTCCTCCAACTCATATTGACGTTGCGCGAGAACGGCATGTTCGTGCTCACGATCCCACTCCTTTTGCGCCTGCATTGCAAGCATGTAATCGCTGTCAAGCTTCACCTTGGAAGTCGACGCAACCGGCTGGCGATCCGGACTACGTCGCGTGTGACACTTCTGCCCAATTGTGGGCTTGATTTCTGCTGCTTCCGTCTTATCATTGGGAGGGTCAAGTTCGATCGTGCAGGCCTTGGAGATCCGCAAAGGGCTCCGGAAGAAGTCCAGTGCAGTGGGAGCTAGCGATGTCGATGCGCCCATATTCTTGCCATCTCCTCGATCTGGAGTAACAGGTAAGGACTTGCTTCTCGCAGGTGAATGGCATTGTGCATCTGACTGCCCGGGCGATTGGGATGATGATTGTGAACGTGAAGCTGACGGCGAATGAGCGCTGGGAGACTCCCGCCTGCGCTTCAGTGCTTGATACTTGTCCTTCAATTTCTCGAGCTGGCCCTCCAAACTCTCTTTCTCCTGTCGCAGAGTGCTGTTTCTGGATTTGAGCTCTTCCACCTCCGCTCGAAGTCCGAGCGACGCGAGACTTGACTCCATGACTGCATCAGTCAATTCCTCCACGCTGTTCGGTGTCCGACCCTTCGGCATGAAGAAGTGGCCGGAGAAATGGCCCAGCAGCTGAGTCTGCCACTGCAGAGTTCTTACTCGCAAGCTTAGTGCGTAGTTTACAAGAGCAAAGCAAGCACCTACGCGTCTGCAAAGAGGCGATCATCGACGGCGAGAATTTTGTCCAGACGGGCCGCCGCGACGTCGATAGACGTGCTTATGCAAAGTCCTGCGCCATCACGATAGTCGGGTCGAGGATGAGAGTCGAATATCATGAATACGCAACGCGGAGGACCCGAGGGCAGTCGCAGAGGTAATTTGACGCAGGTAATGATTTCAGGTGGGCGCGTAATTACCACCGCGGCATACTCGCTCGGGATGGATTCCAATCGTCTACGAGAGAGCGTATCAGGACGGACCCAGTCTGAAGAAGCTTCGGAACTTACACGAGAACGTCTCTCAATTGGACCAAGTTGGGTTGGGAATAGATCGAGGCTTCATGTAACAGTAGCAAGGCTCGGTCGAACAAAGCAACCTGACCCAGACAATCGCAATTGAGATCAGCAAAAAGGAAACAATTATCTGATTCAGTACCTTGTATATCTCTTCGACCTCGAGATGACGGTTGCTGGGCCATCGTTTACAGACGCCGATGGCTTCCTGCAACGAAACGCGGGTTCAGCGAACCAGGCCGTCACCATCAATCTGCTTTCGAACCGCGATCACCACTAACCTCGACGGTCTTGCGGGATACGATATCGTCAAGCAGTCCCCGATCTCTGAGACCCAGCTCGGCTCGCTGGAAGACGACCCTTGCAAAGTTCATGCTCGCCAAGCCACACGCCGATGGCCCAGCCCAGCCGTACTGACTGACACCTGCGTGCGAGACGATCCTCCCTCCACCCGAGAGGATGTCGTCCAAGGGTCCTTTGAGTGCAGGAGAAAGGGCAGGAGCACTGTCGAAGGTCATGGTCATAGTTAGAGCTCAAGACATGCTGTTTAAGGAGTGTAAAATAAGCGCCCAAACAACACGAGGGTGGGATATTCTCGCGTTCCACAGAAATAATTACGTGTGTGCGTACTGCGCTACGTGACTACCTGTACATACCCCTAAATTGGACCCAACGTCGAAGTCAGTTCTGACCAATCTCGTAAAACTGCATTCACGATAGGTTGTTTTTCTGGGCTCAGAAGAACAACGCGAGGATCTTTCAAGCCCTCCAATGTTGTCCGCAAGAGTCCATCAGCTTTATCTTCACCAGCGGGTCTGATAGCCACTTGCTCAACGCTCGAAGGTAGCAAAGGGATGACATGCCGCGTCGGGGATGGGCCGTAAATGGCCACAGGAAGAACCTGTGTTTTGAGACCGAGGGCAACATCCAAGCCTGGCAAAGTTTCACTTTCGCCTACGCCGGAGAATTGAAGATGCGACAGAGCAGGCGCAATCCAGCTTATACCGCGGCCCTGTTCCAGGAAATCCCGCATCGAATACCACTGGTCCTGGTACTCCACGATGTGCAGCCGACGGAGAGTGGGACACGGTTGGAGGAGAGGCGGTGCACTGTGGTCTGCGTCGAGAGGGAATCCGCAACGCGTCGTGAGGTGCACGAGCCGAGGAAGAGCGATGGATTCAGCGATCGTCTTCACGATGAATTGGTCGACATCTAGGCACAGCACCTGCAGATGAGGCGCCACATCCCGAAGGATGCTCATCAGAGCGGCCGCGCCTTCCGTACAGTAGGTTTCAAAGTTTTGGTTGATAACGCGCCGCATTTCGTCCATCTCCATCGTCAGTGTCCGGATCTGGATCCTGCGCTCTTCATTCACTGACATCATCTGCAACCAAGAGCGCCTTTGGGACAGCTTCTCCCATGGCGCCCAAAATGCATGGTAGCGTTGCAAGTCTCCACCGTGGTCATAACCGATGAAGAGAGACCTGGTACCGCGTAGATGGGCAGGAGTGGCAGCCAGCAACCTCGCAAAAGCTCTCATCTGTTCATGACCGAAGATGGCGATCGTCTGCAGTTTGACAAGCTCCGAGGCCGCGCGAACGTATTTCGAGACGCGGCTGAGCGCGCGGCCAGTGGTTCCTGTGTCCGTACAAGCGAACGTAAATATGTGGATGCAGATTTCGGTCGGAAGCTGGTCCAGGTGCATGACAGATTTATGGCAGGTATGCAAGTAATTTGCCAGTGAGAACGAGAGACAGCTGTCAATCAGTGGCAGTGTTTCTCTCCTCTTCCTCAGTTGAATCGGGACGAAGATTTGGCACCACGCCGATTGACTCAACAACGGACAGAACGTTACAGCTCCGAGATCGAACAGAACTTGCGCCAATGGCTCGTAAACCACTCACGTCGCGTCCTCTTGACCTAGTGTACTTCGCTTTCTTTGTGGTATGTTGATCCCAAAACTTGCAGCACAGCTCATCAGCGGCTACTAGACACACATATTCGCGTCACTATTCATGGATTTTCAACCCTTATACCCCTCAGCCCTCGTTCCTGGTCCAGTTCGTCAATTCGCAGAGTGGTACATCAAGACCTCCGGTGACCCTCTCATGAAAGTAATGTTTGGTTCCGAATCATTGGTCTGGTTCAAGAGCTTCATCTTTCTCGAAGTGTAAGTGGCTACAAAGTGTCGCGGCGTATTCATCTTACTCTTGCCACAGAACGTTTCAATTCCCGACATTCTTCATCGCTGCAAGGAGCCTCTGGAACGGTGCGCCAACAGCCTTCGTTCCCTTTCTCCTGTAATGATAGTTCGAAACCAGATTCTAAGAACAACTGCGTGCTCATGCTTGTCTACGCGGCCTCGACCACAACGACTGTTTGGCCCTGTGTCACGACAATCCTGGCGACTCCAGGCCCCTCGGCGGCAGCTCTCGCAGCTGGCGTCACCACTCTTACCTTCGAACAGCGGACGATGCTTCTCTCGAGCTACGTGCCCTTCCTGCTGGTTCCTTTGGTAATGACCGTAGACATGGCTTTGCGCCTGCAACGGTTGTCATCAGAAGCTATCGCGACACGGGAAGCTATGAAGGCGAAATAGACTTTGCGGTGTCTGTTCTATTACTTTGGGGCCATACATTACTACGACATAAATGCGCCAAAAAAGCTTTCCAGAGCAACCGCGTCTTGCAGCGGAGCGACCAAGCCCACGTAACCGTCCGGTCGAACACAAACAATAGCCCCCGCGATGGGATCTATGCCAAATTCGGAGTAGACAGTGCCGCCCTGCGTGCCCCGCAAGTCCGGCCTGTCGATGAAGACCCTGTGTCCAGTCGGCTAGATGTCTCGAGCTACAGATGAGCACGCACTTGGTCCAATGGGGTCTGAGAACAGCGGGCAGATCCATGAATGTAAACCCAGCGGGTGCGGAAGACGATAGAATTGACATCATGTCGACTCTCTCGCGGTATCGATTAAAGAGAGCT